TTACGAATAAAAAGTTTCTGCTCCCCCCAAAAATTTTAGCTAACGAAGAACCAATTTTTTTGGGCGCAGTAATCATTAGACCACCAATAAGGAACAGGCAGGAAGTCAGTCCACTAGCAGATCACAACTTCATGAAGATCTCGAAAAATCCACCTGTTGCCAACGTTTAAACATTACGAATAAAAAGATTCTGCTCCCCCCAAAAATATTAGCTAGAGAAGAAAGAAATTTTTTGGGCTCAGTAATCATTAGACCACCAATAAGGAACAGGCAGGAAGTCGATCCACTAGCAGATCAAAATTTGGAGAAATACATCAACTTACACTATTCCCATGTATTATGATAGGCAAAACAAGAAAAAATATAAAATTCGAGGGATATCTTCGCAGAAATTCAGAAAGAAAGCGTTCAAATGAGCCAACAAACATCCAATGTGCTTGTTAGGCAACCCTAAAAGGTTGTCAGTGATACTGAAGAACAACACGCGAATCTTGAATGCCAAGAAGATATCAAAAAAAAGATAAACGAAATTAATAGAAAAAAAAAAAAAAGTAATTTATCAACTACTCTAACTGACGCCAAATTTTGCTCAGGCGAACCAGCAAATTGTCTGAATAGCCTATAGGAGTGAAGTGCAGCTACAGTAGAAGAAAAGAACTGAAAAAAAAAACAAAAAGCCAGACACTACACACAATACGATGATCGCGATCAATGCAAAAACATCGTAGAAATGTGTAATTTTGACTTTTTCAAAGAAAAAAGTCGATCACCTTCATTCAGGGAGTAAGGCCAATAAAGGCACAAAACGCCCATACGATGAAGACCAGAAGACTTCTGAAAAATAGACAACGAACAGTAAATGAAATATCAACCTTTTAGCAAGTAATATAAAGTACTAATTGCTAAGCTAGTCGAAAATTTTCAAAAGAAATCGTGAAGAAATCAACAAAACATATCACTGTTAAGTTGTTGATAATCAATTCACAATCTATGAGGCAGCGATTGGAACCACACCGCCTCATATCAAAAAGACTTCAGCATCAAACGAGCACAAAAAGAATGAAAGGCAACAACGAACGAAGACAGCGATATCAAAAATTAAAACGAAACGACGACCAAAACTATTCAGCTACTCCACACGACAGTTCTTGCCGTGTAAATTTAGTTACAGTTGACAAATGAATACATCATGATATCATTAATTTATTCTTATCATCTATCACTTTAACTCCCATACCCCGACTCAAGGTGGCTTGCTTAAAAATTATCTCCCATTTAAGTTTAAAATAATTTATCTTCTCTCGTTTTATAAATTGAATTAATAAACTGTGCTTCTAATATTATGAGTTTATTAAATTATTGCGATATAACTTTTGATAGACCCATACCATATTGATACTTGTACATATTCTTAATCAAAGCAGTCTTAAATTATTATGTGAATTATTGTAAATGTATCTGATGAAACACTTCAACCACCCGGGAAGACTTCTTCTTGTGAGGTTGTGTGACATCATCCCTTCATGATGTCATTCATTCTAATTAACCATCTGAACCGAATAGATTACATAATTCACCTTGATGTTAAAATAGAGCTGCATCATATATTTATTTAACTATGTAAACATTGATGGTAATTAATACCAATCATTGGAGATTTATACCGAGCTACGAATCAATTGAATAGAGATCAACTTAATAAACTATTCCAATCATGCTCTTACTTGCGCCGATCGACTTGCGAAATATCAGAAGCTAGGAATCGGAACCAGCATCCTTTAAAGCAAGATAGGTCTTTACCGCTCGAGACATATCTAAATAATGAATCCAATCTAAATACAATTGATAGCCAGTAGTGCTAAAATAACATTACCAATTGAACAGCTCGCATAACAGTAGACGACAGTATACCCGTATTATCCATCCGCCAGATACGGTATATTATAACTACGTTCATTACTGTTAATAGTATCTGACTCAACCAGGTAATTCTAGCGCATATTCTAACCTATCTATTTAATTAAAGAAATGAACTGAAACTTAAAAAGAAATCAAAACTCAAACTGCGAAAAATGCATTTGATCCTGAACAGATTTTAAGGCTCTTCCTGAAAAAAAACTAAGAACAGTTCATCGCGACCTATATAAGAGTCTGAAATACGTTCATCTACTCTTGAAAAACTCCAACTTTGGGTTTTCAAACAAAAAACATTTGGCTTTGAAGCTCTTTGAACTTCAACCGAAATTTATAATTGGGACTTTAGATAAAAATTACACCAATTTGAGAAAATTTGATTATAAGGAAAACTTTATATTCCGCAGCGAAAACTAACAATCAAATTCCACTTTCAAAACTAAAAATCCACAATTACAGCGCCATTTCAGCTTTTATAATAGGAAAGCGAATTTTGCTAGCAAAAGAACTTGAATTGAACTCAAAAAATGCATATACACCGTTAGCGCATTCATGAGCATTTATAAATATCAATGATATTGCTTTATTATTAGAACATTTTAAGACTTTTCCCGACAAAAAATCATCACGACCTATAAATGAGTCTGAACTGCGTTCATCGACTCTTAAACAGAGATGCGTTAATAATAAGCGAAGGCATTGCTAATAACGCTCAGTGGTTCTCTGAATAAACAGAGTCGCGCGGCCACAAAGTTGCAGAAACAAATGCATCTGGATTCGTGGTTCCAACGAACACACGTCGACCAGAAAAACTGACAACACTGAACACACCTGATATTAGCTAAGCAGCATCAGATCTTGCGATCTTTAAATAATAGTACTGTGGCAACATACTGCGATCAGTTCATTCAGCTATCATTGAGGAAAATCATCTGATTTATTTTTCTTAATATAGAAGAGGTTGGTTTGACTATGAATGTCAAAGTTAAAAGTCGGACTTGGTAAACTTGAGCGGAAAATGACAAAGCATTTCGAAACAGCATTGCGTAAATCAAACAATACACTCCCCCAACTCTGACCCGGTAGCCAATACCTACTATATTAGATTGATCAAATAATGTACCGGACACCTGCCCAAAATTATATAAAATGACACACCAGCGACCAAAAATTTAAATGCCGGTCAGACCCTGACTCTTTGCAATCTGGAGAGTGAGGGAGTTAATGGACAATCATGGAAAAGCTGCCCAGCATCCTCATTTATCACATACCCTCACACTAACTAAAACCCGGAATGAAGTATCAAGCAAATCTACGCACCCGGAAATTCCTGTGCCCTCGAATTGGTTTTACAATCTACGTCCCCCTCCCTTGAGAATGCTAGATAGATACGAAGCCTAATCAATAGCACAAAGACGCTAACTGGAAAATTGGGTACCCTTCTACGTCGGTTTTGTCGCTAGAGACCCTGAGGTAACTGCAGCAATACAGTGACGAGACGACATCACCATTGCCAAGCATCAACGAAACTATACTCCCTAAACTTTTCTTTCTCTCAAACAATGATATTTCTAATTCAACCGGAAGCTCGAAAAAATCAGACCACCTAAAACAACAGAAAAACAACATGGAAATCAACCATAACGTCCTTGAAAATCCACGTTTTGAGTGAGGACTCGCGAATTAAAACGAACGTAAAACTACAACAAACTAACAGAAAGTCGAAAAAGTATAAATACCCACAAGAAAATGAAAAAACGTATTTCTCAAATTTCGGAGAAAAAATAGTCTGAAAAACAGAAAAATAGATAGTTGGAAAGGTGTTAGATGTTAGATTCCTTTTAAACTCTTTGAAATTCTAGAACAACTTATGATTGGCACTTTTTTGATTACATTAAGCCAACTTGAGAAAACCGGATTAATTGGAAGTTTTTAATCTGCCGGAAATCTAAATATTAAATTCCATTATCAAAACTAGAAATAGTTCACGTTTTTTTGTTCATACTATTTACGCTACTCTCAGCAGATAAACTTCAATTGAACTCAAAAAGTGCTGATATATCTAAGTGCATTCATAAATGCATTAACATGTATGAATGCACAACTGTAGTTATTAGAGCATTTTAGGACTTTTTTCTTTAAAAAAAAAACAAAAAATCACCAAGTCCTATAAAAGAACCTTCACTTAGTTCAATTCTCTCAAACGGACGTACGATAGTCCGAAACAGCACTAAAATTCAAGTTGCAAAAAAACATCAGGTCCCGGCCGGATTCAAACCGCAGACCTTTGCCGTTTCAAGCAGATGTGTAAACTCTACGCCAGATGCGAATTCAAAATAAAGGAAGCATATGAGGTAGTCCAGGCCCCAGGAGATGAGCCCAATGAACAAAATTATTTACGGGGAAAACGCTTAGTACCCGATTGCAATATCCTTGTTTATCGCACGGGTAACAATTCTAACCGTATTTGAGAAACCGGGATCAAAAGATATATAATTTATATTCCGCTAAAAATCTGTAAATTCAAACCGCGAAAAATCAGATTTGAGCGTGAACATCTAAGACTTCTGTTTCTTCACTTGGTTCATTGATGCTTAATAAACCTTACGTTTACGTATGACATTAGCTGCTTGACAACTAAAAAACCGTGTTGTGGTAAATGATACCGACATGCGGCTGGTACAAGCTTTACAGAATTAATCATTTTAAACACTTCAGCTCGAGGACTGTTCCGAACCACTTGCCCTTGTAAACCTGATCTTAAACTCAAAAAAACTTAGATGTTAACTTGATTCTTTGTTGCCAACCACTATCGAGCATTTTCACCGGGTGCTAAGCAAATTTAATCCAAATTAAACGTTAAGGGGAGAGATGGGGGAGGATGTTAGCTTGATCCACTAACAGATCTCGCTTGTACCAAAAGTAACGTGTTCTGTGAACAAATATAGAAGCATTATTTCAACTGAATGTGAATTGCTTGGAAGAAGCGCAGATCTTAAATTCCTTCATAGCACAAAAATTTCAATTGAGAGGCACACAAATGATCAAAATTATTTTCCCCGCAAAAAAAAACATTAGCAATCTACCTGCTGAGACGACTTGCATATCCTCACAGTCTAAATCTAGCACCGAAGTGTCGCCAGTCGCTTCATTCTGGCGACTACTACTCGTTCCTGACTGATCCACAGATGAAGTGATATTAGGCTTCGATTCTATCTTAGCCGATACTTCCGACTTCATACCAGTTCTCATTGTCACGTCATCATTAGCATTCGTCTCCGTCTTGATCAGTTCCGAGGTACTTGTTACTTGGTGTTCTGATTTCACAGCAGATATGGCCTGAGTTTCATTCTGAAATATTTTGTCAAGACTCAAGAAGTCAGAGCAATACCAATACTTTGAGGAACAAAAACTTCGCCACGAGCACCTTCTCATAATGCTGAACCGATTTGAATCAAAAGCTTTAAAAAAACATGTTTATGTAGTCAAAATGGTGGCTGCTCGTAGAAATATTACATATTAGGGCCATTTTGTCATAATTCTTCATTTAGAAATATAACACTCACATCTTCAGCGTCTTGTTTGACTTCCACTCTCGGTCTGGGTACATTATCGGTTGCGACAACTGAAGAGACTCGGCCCATCGTCACCACAGCTTCAATTCCTCTCGAGGTCAGACTGTCATCCATCACCTGATGAATGTCGGTCGAGTCCAACGTCAACATATTCGAATCCTGAACGACGTCCACATTTTCCTGTTTAGTCGCACTTCTAATTTCCTCCATATTTGTCGTAGTTTGCCCTCTCGAATGTGACATGGACGACTCACGTGACCTGCTATTCGATGTGCGACTGGATCTAGCCTTACCAATTCTAGTTCTAAACTTGCCCGAGCCCCGAACCGGTGACCTATCGCGCTTAACAGTTACTCCAGTTTCGTCAGCGTTAATGGCCACAGATTTGATCCTCTTTGCAAAATCTGTTTCGATGTCATCCTCGTCACTCGAAATAACTCTCGCTGAAAGAGTACTTCTGGACCCATGGCGGCGCCACTTGGACGCGCGGCTATTATCTCTTCTTCCCGATAACCCCGAGGACGTTCCGGCACTGGTTCCCGGGAGCATTTCTGAGTTATTGTTGGTGCTAGTCGAACGAACGGGGTCTATTACGTCCTCGTCATCAGATAGAACAATCAGCTGAGGTGTGATACTTGACCGTGCTCTTGCACATGTGTGCGAGGACGAGGCCGGAGCGAATGAGGAACTGAAGGTGCTTCGTGATGACACAAGCGCACCAGAGGTGCTGCTGATCACTTGAATCTCTTCTGCACTCCACTGCTCTATGTCATCATTTGTTATCTAAATATGTTTTTCCGACTAAACCCAACCACACAACGGAACGTGAAAGTTGAACATGGAATGACCCAAAGAGACTAATTTTTATGTTAAGTCAAGAGAAACTACCACCTCTGTAACATTCAACTGGCACAAAAAGGTATAACAACTTATTCTCCGACAATGTCAAGTCTAAAATATCTCCTGGATCATCGCTCGGTGCACAAAAATTTTTAATTTAAGCTTTCCAATAATTTTTTCTCACCTCAGTGGCAATTTTTTCAGCAGCTCCATCAATTCCATACATCGCATGTCTATCGTACTCATCGACTGCAAACGGACTCCTCGCAAAAGACTTCAACTCGTGGATGAAATGAGAAGTTCGGGATCCCAACTTGCCAACCAGGCCCGAGTAAAACTGTCGTGAGTCGATGTCAACTGTTCTCAGAAGCCTCAACAGTTGTCCGAGGGTCGAGCTCAGTTCCCTCTTGTCCACCAAAACAGACAACTCGCGGTTCGCCCATTGCATGATTCTTAAAATCAACTACTCGAATCTTGTATCCCATATACCAACATAGGCGCTACGCGCAATACACCGAAGGCAAAGAAACTGAAGCAAAAACCAAACAACTTGAACAACTAATAATTTAAGAATAACAGTTCTAGAACAAAAAATCGTACTAATACATGTATACACCAAAATTTTGCTATATCGAGAAAGAGCCTGAAATAACAGTTCTAGAACTAAAAATCGTACTAACACATGTATAGGTCAAATTTTTGATATATCAACGAAGATCATAAAATAACACTTCTAGAACTAAAAATCGTACTAACACATGTATACACCAAAATTTCTCATGAACAAATAACCAAACAAACAGACCCATAATATAAATAAATGAAAATAAATAAATTAAATAAATACACACGCAGAAATAATAAAAGCAAAACTAAATGAAAGAAAGAATAATTAAATAAATAAACAAAACACGTGATAAAAATAAACAAAAATAAATATGTACATACATAAATTATAAATAAATATAAGCAAACTAAACATAATTAAATAAATAGAAGAACAGATAATTAAATAAATAAAGATGAACAAATAAAGAAACAAACATACGCAATCACGTGACATAGCGCGATATAGTCCAGCCCACATGATAATTGATAACTGTGGACGTTATTTGTCGACACTTGACAACATTAAAAAAAAAACCCGTTACACGATACCATAACACCTTGACTAAAGTCTTCGGTGTAATAAAGTGGTTTGATACTAAATTTGTTCTTCCATTCACAGCAAACTTGCAGCAAATTCTAACTTACAGATATAGTTTTTTAAAAATAGAGGTGTTTTTTTTCAGATAAATGAGAACAGTTCCAAGCTCTAGTTTATTGTCCTTGTATATCAGTGTATGTAATTATGGTGTTATATGTTACCTCGTGATGCTAGCCGGTCTCTCCTGCATAAATTGGAGACTGATGTCTCTGAAATGGTTCGAGTTGTAGTGTCGCACTTTAAATCCGTGGTGGTAAATCAATCTGCGTCCCTGGAGGGTCAACCTTCTCCGGTCAGTGACACCTCGCAACATATCGGGTACGTTAGACATCGTCATGTCAACGCCAGCACTAGATCCAGCACCTACACTATTGATTGCGTCAAAAATTGACTGTGAAATGGTCGAACTCCTCGCTGAAAAACAATTATCAGCGATTATGACAATTATGATGGTTTTCTTTTTCTCAGTTCCAGATTAGCTGGCAAGAAAAATTTATACATTCTCTTTTCATTTTCCTCTTTAATGTTACTTTCTGTTTGCATTGTAATCAAACTGAATTTTTCTTGACTTCTGATTATGTCTTCTGAGGAAAACGTTTAACTGAAGTAATATTGAAACGAGTTTTATGTGAAACCAATTAATTATTCAATCTTGTCGCCGCACAATCAATTACACCAAAAACTTACATCTAATATAATAATAAAATGGATAATCACTTCAGGTATTCCATGTGAGGTAGGCTTACCGGGAAAGCTATCGCTACTACTCGAAACAACAGCAGTAGGCTCTATTGGAACCACCAAACTTGAGGGATCTACGAGCCTCCGATGATTGGGGCGAAAAGATCCAACTGAAATTGAGATATTGGGCGTGTGGGTCGTTATTCGCACCGAGCCGGAATGCTGGTCTGTGAATGGAGCGAAAAAAGCACTGGAGCTGGATCCAGCTGTATCGGGAACTGAGAAGAGAGGGTGGTTTGTACTTCTTCGTCGGTTAAACATCAACGACGGACTCATAAACGGCACGTGTATATCATGTGGATGAAGGGATTGTCCTGCGAAAGAACAGCTATTGTTATACGAACTATTAAAAAGCAATTGCTCAATTCAGAGAATACTCACGCGTGAATGGCGCAAGCATGGACCCCATGTCTTCTCCGAGTAACCGATTAACAGGTTGCACATGTTCAATTTTAAAATCTCGATTAGATTTTATGTCATGGTGGATTTTATCGAACGGCGACTTACACAGAGGACAAATATTATTTATACGAGACCATTCATTGATGCAAGGATAGCAGAATGAGTGAAAACATGGGTCACATACAGCCAGGTTCCGGAGAACATCTAAACATATCGAGCATGTTTCTCCACTTCTAGGGGACTGCCGCTCAGCAACACCCACTGATGTCCTTTGCGAATCATCCAAGCTCACTATCGAAGCATTGATGTTTTCACTCGAATTTAAGCTCTCATTCGTGGTATCCGAAATTTCAATAGTTGGGATGGCCCCATCATCTGCCTCATCGGCCATCACTGAGCAGCCTTGATTTCTGCTACTATTTTACCTGATCTGAAAATCGAGCTAGAACTTTGAACTTAAAACATTGTATAACGCAGGCAATGAAGCTGAATTAATAAACCAACTAGCACAAAAATCGAAAACAGAAGACAATTATTGTCGAAATCAATAAATTTACACACGAAAGATTAAATATCACGGTTTTACAAAGATGCAACGCGATCAAAGTTCGGTTCAAGCCAAAACAGGTAATTTATCACTATTTGTGTTTAGCCATTGCATTTGCTAGTTGGATTTGTAATTCCTCAATTTTCAATTTCTCAGAATTGAAAATTTCAATTTGAACGGATAAAAATGAGCAAACAAAAACAGCTTTTACGAGCTTTAAGCTAGTCTATTACGACGTTTTAACGTCTGTAAATCATTTATTAACTGTCTTATTAGCTTAACGATGGACATCTTCTACGTAACAAAATATTTTTAGCGAAGAAGATAGGGCACTTCAATTACTCTAGAAAAGTCTACGCATTATTACAGTAAAGTGTAATAAAAATTAGTTCAGGTTTCCAGATTAGTTGCTTAACTAGTATTTAATAAAATCAGTTAAATGATCAAAATTATAAGAAATTTAAAATGTTAATTCAAACGTTTTCGCACATTTTGTGCAGCATCAGGATTAAAAATTTTCACAATATTTACAAAACGATCAAAGATCTCATAAGAGAAACATGTCTAAAAAGGCTATAAAACTTTAAACCAATCAAATTAAAACAACTATAATTACATAATATAATTACATATCATGAATATCATTTTCCAGCAAATTTCTGAGATTTTTTAGTTTTTTGTTCTTTCATGGTTATAAAATTTCGATTTGGGAAAATTTCTGATTCTGACATGTCAGTTTTTTAACTTTTAGCCATGTTATACATAGTCTATTATTTTACTGTTAATTCCCGGCTCCTGAATTCATCGCGTGTGTTGATCTTCGGCCTCTCCCTCCAAATATGCAAAGCCTCTAGTGTCAGTAGCTTATGAGTGTTGGCTGTTTGGTCTATAATCTCTGACTTCAGCTCAGCAGTACCGCCTACCTCCTTATTACATTCTAACAAGTGTTGCACTGCTGGGGAGTCCCCTTTGCGGTGTTCATCGACCCTCGTGGCTAAATGTCGGACTGTCTGGTCGACATAGATGGAGTTACATCCACTACATGTAAGCTTGTACACCACTGTGGATCTCAGTTCACGAGCAAAGGAAGTTTTGAGGAATGGCAAGCACGTTTCCAATTTTCTTGTTTTAAAAGTTATTTGTACCCCGGATTTTAGCCGAACCTTTGCAGCTAACACTTAAGATGGATTGCCTCGATAGTGCATTGTAAGAAGAGGGGTGAGTCCTTCAACCATTTATCTTTTCTCGATTCTGATGCCTTTACCTCCAAATTGTTCTTTCCCTCAATGATCTTGTTAGGAGTTTCAAACAGTACCCTGTCAGACCATTTTTTCGGATATTGATTTTCAATCCATTGCTTCCGATTTTTTTCCAATGCCTGGTCACAATCTTCCATGTTGAGGTACTTCTGAAAACTCTATGAACAGTCCCTCCAATAACGTTTCTTTTGTACTGCAAAGGTGGGCAGCCGCTGAAATTTAGAATGGTGCCCGTATCAGTGGGTTGTAACATTCGCCCAAATACTACACAGCCACGGAGCGTAGAAAAAGTAGCTATTAAATACTGGCAGGCGTCAGTTACCTTAATTCTCCTCGTTTTTCACCGTCTCGACCTTGCCAGATGATTTTCTGGTCTGTTTAGGGCTAAGTAAAAAGTTACTATTTTTAGGCCATCAGTCGAACGACTTTTGATCAGCTTTCGTTTACATGCAAACACAACCACATAGCTGAGTCTCGGATCCTCAGACTACGTGACTGCTATTAAAAACACGGCTCGAATACCCTATTTTAATGTTTTTGGTGACAGTTCTATATTAAATCCATTGGAGATGGATTGACCCTTTCCTCTTCCTAGCTACTCATATTCTAAAATATCAAATCATACCGGTGTCAATTCAAAGTTCTTTGGCATCAGAGTAGCTAAAAAATTACTTTACTACAGTCTTTCATCATATATCAGTCTCTAGGGGACCGAGCCTCCGCTTCCGTGTTTTCCTCGAGATACCGTCGTTATCACTCCCAATTCGCGGCACGGGAGGATACTGCTCTCCACTACTTCCCCACCGAAGCCTCCTTTCCCACTATCTTCTTCTGTTAAGGGTCTTATCGTGCTTGATCGTCACGATGAGAGGCTTCGTTTTTCTGTGTTAACGTGCGACTGTTTTCCACTATATTTGCTGTTGTTCTTATTTTCTCAACTTTTTCAGTCAAAATGGCCGTTTTTTGTATTTCTGAGAAATACTCGTTCGTAAATCGAAATTTTGAAAATAGAAAATTCTAGAATATCTCTACCCTCCTTCGCAGCACTTTTTCGTTGTAAGGCCTTTTCTCGCTAATTCGTGCTTCGCCGGAAGGTTGCGTTGTGCCAATCTGACAGAATGGCACATACTCCCAGACAGTCCCCATCAATGTCCCTATTGATCGCATAACACCGGGTTATCGTCAAGTAGTGTTCCAGTTCCCGGTAATCAACCTTACAAGTCGCATTAGAAAATGAAATTTATCTACTCCACCTCAACTCACTACGTGTCACAAATGGCATCACACTACATCTCACTGCCTTTCAACATTTTCACAAAATTTGCACCGTGAGGAGTGTCCTAGATAAAATTTCTTTTCTGACTACTTACGTCATCTTGTCATAAAAATTTTTTTCGCTCTTGCACCCACGCACCCATTTTTTGCTCACGCACCCATTAAAATTAACTTAATGTCACTCACCAAGTATAATCAGTTATTTATGCGGTCCTCTTTGATATTAAAACTAAGAAACTCTGTGGCTGGGAAAGTTATTGAGTTACTTGCCCTCTTCGAGCGAGCTTACCCAAACTTACCAGGTCGCCACACAGTGAACACGTGTCTTACACAGGTTAAAAACATCAGTCGTGTTTAAATAGATAAATATACTCACCTATGTTCTATATATATACATAAGTAGCACAACTAAAATTTTCTTTCAACAATTTCAACAATTGCAACAATTTTCAAAGTCTGGTCTGACCAAACTTAATCAAAACAAAAAGTTTAATTCCTCAATTTTCAATTTCTCAGAACTGAAAATTTCAATTTGAACGGATAAAAATGAGCAAACAAAAACAGCTTTTACGAGCTTTAAGCTAGTCTATTACGACGTTTTAACGTCTGTAAATCATTTATTAACTGTCTTATTAGCTTAACGATGGACATCTTCTACGTAACAAAATATTTTTAGCGAAGAAGATAGGGCACTTCAATTACTCTAGAAAAGTCTACGCATTATTACAGTAAAGTGTAATAAAAATTATTTCAGGTTTCCAGATTAGTTGCTTAACTAGTATTTAATAAAATCAGTTAAACAAATGATCAAAATTATAAGAAATTTAAAATGTTAATTCAAACGTTTTCGCACATTTTGTGCAGCATCAGGATTAAAAATTTTCACAATATTTACAAAACTATCAAAGATCTCATAAAAGAGAAACATGTCTAAAAAGGCTATAAAACTTTAAACCAATCAAATTAAAACAACTATAATTACATAATATAATTACATATCATGAATATCATTTTCCAGCAAATTTCTGACATTTTTTAGTTTTTTGTTCTTTCATGGTTATAAAATTTTGATTTGGGAATATTTTTGATTCTGACATGTCAGTTTTTTAACTTTTAGCCATGTTATACATAGTCTATAATTTTACTGTTAATTCCCGGCTCCTGAATTCATCGCGTGTGGTGATCTTCGGCCTCTCCCTCCAAATATGCAAAGCCTCTAGTGTCAGTAGCTTATGAGTGTTGGCTGTTTGGTCTATAATCTCTGACTTCAGCTCAGCAGTACCGCCTACCTCCTTATTACATTCTAGAAAGTGTTGCACTGCTGGGGAGTCCCCTTTGCGGTGTTCATCGACCCTCGTGGCTAAATGTCGGACTGTCTGGTCGACATAGATGGAGTTACATCCACTACATGTAAGCTTGTACACCACTGTGGATCTCAGTTCACGAGCAAAGGAAGTTTTGAGGAATGGCAAGCACGTTTCCAATTTTCTTGTTTTAAAAGTTATTTGTGCCCCGGATTTTAGCCGAACCTTTGCAGCTAACACTTAAGTTGGATTGCCTCGATAGTGCATTGTAAGAAGAGGGGTGAGTCCTTCAACCATTTATCTTTTCTCGATTCTGATGCCTTCACCTCCAAATTGTTCTTTCCCTCAATGATCTTGTTAGGAGTTTCAAACAGTACCCTGTCAGACCATTTTTTCGGGTATTGATTTTCAATCCATTGCTTCCGATTTTTTTCCAATGCCTGGTCACAATCTTCCATGTTGAGGTACTTCTGAAAACTCTATGAACAGTCCCTTCAATAACGTTTCTTTTGTACTGCAAAGGTGGGCAGCCGCTGAAATTTAGAATGGTGCCCGTATCAGTGGGTTGTAACATTCGCCCAAATACTACACAGCCACGGAGCGTAGAAAAAGTAGCTATTAAAAACTGGCAGGCGTCAGTTACCTTAATTCTCCTCGTTTTTCACCGTCTCGACCTTGCCAGATGATTTTCTGGTCTGTTTAGGGCTAAGTAAAAAGTTACTATTTTTAGGCCATCAGTCGAACGACTTTTGATAAGCTTTCGTTTACATGCAAACACAACCACATAGCTGAGTCTCGGATCCTCAGACTACGTGACTGCTATTAAAAACACGGCTCGAATACCCTATTTTAATATGTTTTTGGTGACAGTTCTATATTAAATCCATTGGAGATGGATTGACCCTTTCCTCTTCCTAGCTACTCATATTCTAAAATATCAAATCATACCGGTGTCAATTCAAAGTTCTTTGGCATCAGAGTAGCTAAAAAATTACTTTACTACAGTCTTTCATCATATATCAGTCTCTAGGGGACCGAGCCT